TGTGTGTGTGTGTGTGGTGTGTGTGGGGGGTGTGTGTGTGTGTGTGTGTGTGTGTGTGTGTGTGTGTTAGCGTCTGAGCCCATTCCCTTGGCAACAGACACGGTGTGTGCAGCCCTCTGAGATGACAGGCTGATGTGCTTCGTTCCACCTCACTACCTTTAGTCATGCTTTTGATTTTTCCAAGCGGAGATGGCACTGAAACATAGGAGCCGTCTGGAAGAAAAATGTACAAAATCAGGCGTTTTTTGGGAAATTATGTAGGATTGTATTACAGTTGACAATTAACAGGGTTCATTCTCACCCCCTCCTGGCTGGGAGTATTCATTACAAGGGGAATCATCTGGACGTTTGTAGTGTTTAAGCAAGGTGACGATGGCATCGTGACCTGTGACAAGACAATCACTGGCCTTTAGTTGATCTTTATAGACATTTTGCAGAAAGGTTTTCATATTCCCTTGAACTGTTTCATATTCTTTCATTTGATGTTGATGTGCCTTTACTGGGATTTAATGAGACAGACAAACCCAACCAGTCAGCACATAATTGTAAGGAACTAACAAAAATGTGACATGTGATATATTTGTGTGATGTGGCGTGAAAATGTTTTTCAGTCCTCTGAATAAGTAATTTGTGGAATCACAGTTCCCCGTAATCACAGATGCACATAAGATCCTCGGTTAACTCTTCAGGTCCTGAAACATATTCTCAACTGGATTTACGTCACTGTTGCTCTGGTTTTATGTTTGGTGTCATTTGTTCTGCTGGAAGGTGACCCTCCACCTAAGACTGAAGTGTTTTCCTGCTTCTCGGCAGGTTTTCTTCCCAGGATTCAGCCTCATATGTGACAGTGAGCATGGTGTGAACACAGTGATGTTCATTGTATGTTTTCAGATCAGTGTATTTATCATCACCTTTTGCTGTATATTTGTACTGTGCTCCCTACGTGGCTGGTATCAAACTGCGAAGGGACATGGTTTGTTCAGAAATAGCTTCCATCTTGTTATTCCTCCATATTTGTTAGATTTGTGTGCAACTGACATTTTTTCCGTTGACATGTTCTCCCAGGTGAGCTGTTGATGTCTCCAATTTCTCCAGAGTTACCATGGGGCTCTTGGCTACTTCTTTGAATTATGTCCATAGTTTCAGTTTAGTTGGGGCACAAAGTCTTGGTAGATCTGTACTTTTGTCAGACTCTTTCCATTTTCATACCATTCGTAACCTAACCCTGCTTTAAATGTGTCCACAGCTTTATCTCTGAGCTGTGCTTATTTACAGCTTGACTCTACTTAGCTGATTTATGCAATGCAACAGATTACGCTGGATTTTATTTCAGGCATATTTGTTTGAAATTTTGAAAATATTTTCTGTCCACTTTACAATCATGCACAACTTTGTGTTTGTCTATCATTCATAAGATTAATGCATTCAAGAAAAAAAAAATCTAAAAGGTTAAGCATCATGAATTCTTTTTAAAGCTTTTCCAAACACAAACCTTTCTCGTAAGCCCACATCAGGCAAGTCTGCTCGTCTTTCTCCCCACTGGACCTGCTGGGATCACAGGCCACGAGGTTCATGTCGGCCCCGTTGTCCAGCAGAAACTGGACCAGGCGGATGTGGCCATGGAAACAGGCACTGTGAAGAGCTAAACATGTGGACGTGAGTTTGGGTTTTGTTGCTGAGCTAAAGAGAGTCACGTCACTTTGAGCGCAACAGAGAGATCACCTGTGTGGCCGTCTCTGCCCTGATGATTGATGCTCATGGCGTTCTGGCCCAGCAGGAATTTGACCATCTCCAGGTCTTTGCCGTAAGTGCACGCACTGCGTTATGAAGCAGAAATTTATTACCACCCCAAAGCTTGTTCAGTGGACGACACATGAACCAGCTCTGCTCGTCTGTACCTGTGAAGTGGCGTCTCACTGAATATGTTCTCCTTCAAGAAACTTTCCGTACCAGAAAGCTGTATCATCTCTTTCACCGCACTAAATTTGCCATTGTAGCAAGCCCTGGTTAAACACATTCACACAAAAGAAATCCAGTCGACAACAGCAAACTGTTGCGAGACTCAGATCTGTGGAGCAGTCATTTACAGGTGTAGCGGCGTGTCCCCGTAGATGTTGACAGAATGAGGCTGAACTTCGCCGCTCCCTTCGAGAAGAAAATGAACGATCTCATGGTGACCAAAACGGGCGCAGAAGTGGAGAGGGACGTGCTCTTCATTGTCTCGGGCATTCACTGGTTGACAGACAGCAAGCAGTGGGAGAAGCTCAACAACCGTCCCTGCTTGAGCATGTTGTAAACGAACGAAATGTGCTGGTCCAAACTGATTGTGCTGCACCACGTAGCTACAAATAAATGACTCTGACTTGCAGATGATTTGCATTTTAGTTTAGATTCTTTGGTCTCACCGTTGGCTTTGCTACCGTCTCCCACCAGCAGGTTTATGATGCCGAGAAAGCCTTTGGCTGCCGCCAGGTGCAGCGGCCGGTCTCCCACCTCCCCGCTGGCGTCCACATCTGCCCCAAACTTCAGCAGTAGCTTTGCAACCTGGAAAGAAAGCGGAATCCATACGGGGCAATCAGGAGAGCAAGTTATTTGTTTCAGTTCACGTTCTGCAAAGAAATGTGAGACAAAAAACCTGCTCATGGCCATAGTAGGAGGCAATATGTAGGGGAGTGAAAAACACCGCGTCCTGAACGTTGACAAAAGCTCCATGCTGCAGGAGTACGTCAGCAGCCTACATGAGAACATAGCAATGAATCAAAATAAGTTCATTCACACAGATGTAAGGCAAATGGACTAAACCAAGTTCTTCTAAGAGCAAAACAAACCGTGGACCAGAACAGGTTTAACTAAATGCACTTAGTTTGGTAAAGTTTTCAGTAGATTGTGTGTTATTAATTGATAAGGGAGGCTTTTCTCAGCTGCTACTACAAGGGATGCAATTACAATCCTTACTAACTTAACATTGTGAAAGCCCAAAGAAACTGACTGTGTTTTCAAAGAGATCTAAACATTACTGAAGCCCAACTGGATTTCAAAACCATTGACACTGCTTTTACCTTTTCCACTCTCCCCTCTATTCTCTGAAGACCTAATGGTTCACTTTATTAGCAGTAAATGATGGGACTAGAAACAAATTCAACAACTCTTCCCAAGGTTTTTTTTTTTAAATAATATGTTAGAAAATATAAAGAAATTCAAGATGTACAAATACTTTTGAAATTCTCGATATTATGAAATACTCTAGCGAAGTCAATAAAATTAGATAGTCAAGTCATAATTATGAGATGATATCTTAGTATGATGAAACACAAGTTAGTTTTTTTTCCCCCATTAGGTTGGCTGAAAAGGACCTCCGTAGGTTAGAGATGTGCTTATACGAGTCTGTCTTTGTTCCAGCTTCTGGCTGCAGAATTGTGTTACTGTCTTCAGCGAAAGCAACAAACTGTGGCAATGGCAGCACCTCAGTATAATGAGCTAACAGAGAGAGATAGATGTAGGATAGGGACTCTTCGTCTCACCTCATGATGCCCAGCCAGTGTAGCAACATGCAGAGCTGTGAGGGCCCCGTATCCCACCTGCTGCACGTCTGACCCACCATGCAGGAGTTCAGTCACCAGCTCTGCGTTGTCCTGCAGCACACAAACACACCAAGATGTTGCAAATAAATCCACTTGGATACAGCTGCCACGACTTTTTTGAAGCACTGAAGCTCCACCGTGTGGCAAGCCTTTAAAAAGTTTTCAAATTCATAAAAATAAGGCACAAGTTGCCTCACTTTGTAAGCAGCCAGGTGGAGAGCAGTGAAGCCATTCCTGGTGAGTCTGGAAGGCCGCAGGCCTTTGAGGATCAGGGTCCGCATGTGAGCTTTATTTCCTGGGCACACAGGGATAAAAACACGCTTTAGTGAGTCGATACTTAAAGTCAATAAAATCTTACAGAATGGAGTGAAGAAATTGAATCAACCCTACTCTGCGTTTCATTTCTCCACCTGTCTTTAAATTTTGCTGCAGATAACAGAAAGGTCAACTGAACACAATAAGGTCAGTGGGCGCCGCAGTAATCCCTCCATCCACTGTCACATTTTGCAGAGGCGTTATTAATAGACTCCAGCAGTCATGCATACCTCCACACACACAGCAGAGGTGCAGCAGCGACAGCCCCTTCTCCGTTCGGTAGTTCACGTTCACCTTCTGGAAAGCCTCGTCGGAGCTGCAGACAACCACAGTCCCAAAAATCAGAACAGAGCAGGCAGTGAGACTGATGTCCAGCAAAAGCGGCAGATTTTTTTTTTGTCAGATTCAATTTTATTTTGTATGAACGGATGGGAATGCCGGTCACCTGAAAGCAAGGTGGAGGTCTGCCAGAGCGCTTTCTGGGAGCTGGAAGTCGTCGTCCAGCTTCTCGATGATCACAGAGTACGACTCGCCCACTTTCTTCTTCCACTCATCTTCATTTGTCACAAACATGATCATCTTGTCAACGTCACTTTCGTAACACGCGTGACGCAACATGTGAACAATTTTAAATAAGAGATTATGCCAGCAATGGAACACACGGAAAGGTTTCAGCAGCTCCTCTCTGTTCCTCCGATAAATTGATGAGAGCTCAAAATAAAACACAAGCGCAGCAAGTCCTGAACGTCCAAAGATCACATTCAAAACAGGCCTTACCTGTGCATGTCTGAGATGGTCTGGATTTGTAGTTTCCCATTGAACTGGTTGTTTTCTCTTTTCTTTTTTTTTTTTTAATTTGTGAGCTACAGTGAGAGAAGAACACAATCTCACACTCTGGCACAATTGCCCCCGTCCAGATAAAGACGGATCATAGCTGAGAGCTAAAAATAAACACTTCTGAGAGGAAGTCCTCACAACTGTGACAACCTGTCTCCCTTCACTCCGTTTATTTACAGACTGTATTTAACAAAGCATGGGATCGGTGAGTAGTAGCATCAAAACCAGCATGACAAACAGGGGACAAGGACACAGGACAGTGTGTGACAGAAAAATTAAGATTTTATTCATTCTTATTATAGGTTTGAATTTCTAACAGCATTATGACTTGCTTCTACTGTAATGCTCACAGGGTAACATGGACTGACAGATGTAACTGCAGTGTAATGGAGCAACTAGTGGGGGTTTATTATGACAATTTAAAATATATATATCCCTTTCTGTGCCATTTGATAATCACAGCAATTATGGCCTTTCAAAAAGGGGGAAGAATTAACAGAACATTTCAAATGTGTTGGTATATGTTGCAGCAGCACCAGGTAGTGCAATTATAGCAATGTGTTATGACCATTAAAATTCATGATGGCAAGGCAAAAACATCCTCAACCAAATTTGTTTGTCACAATTCCAATTGTGAATTGTTCCAATTTAATGAATGCAAATCCAAACATCGAAGTATGAAGCAAAGCAAGATTCACTTAAAGTGGTTTTATGAAAATTGTTGCTTTTAAAGCAAACAAAGTTACAAAATGTCAAAACATTCACTTTCACCAACAAAGTGAAACATTATAAATGAATTCAATATCGGTGACAACGGTTGTTTAAATGCTGAGTTTCCCCTGTCGGATGTCATGATGTAGCCTCCTCTTGAGCTTTAGCATTTCCTCCAGGTTCTTGCACTGTAAACAGTCCTGCATCGACATCAGAGCGGTGTCTCTGGGAGGGGGGCTTGTGGAGCCGCTCAGGACGGCCTGCAGCATTCTGAGAGACGCGGAGAAGGAGCTCTGCTGCTCGGAGCAAACAGGAAACAAGCAAGCGTTCCACAAACTGCAGCTCGATGCGTCTCCTGAGAACTCGAGGTGCTCGTTCTCCATCCCCCAGTGGGACAGGCACTTTGCAAGGTTAAGTCCAAAAAACTCTAGTTGCTCCAAATATGCTGGAGAAGGCACACTTTGCTTTAAGTTGTCCTTAATACCAAAGAAGACAGTAACAAACCCGATTTGTTTCTGGTGGGTGACACATAATGTGTGCATGAAAGCCCCAGCTGGCACAGAGAGGCCTGGACTGACCCAGCAGCTGCTGATGATGGACCCCCCGCCCACGGACACCCCTGTTTCCAGCCTGGAGTACTCCACCACTGACCCAGCCTCCACAGAGCAACTGGGATCAAGGACACTGTGCATGATGCAGCAACCAGAGAAGTTTTCATTGGCATTTACGCTGAAGGCAGATGACAGGAGATCAAGCTCGCCCCTGAACGCCTCGTCCTCCGTCAGGTGGAAGAGGTACTCTGAGGTGGTCCCGATGTGATAAAACTTAGAGTTGTTGAGGAGAATGACATTGAGGGGCATCCCTTTAAGTAGATGGAAGATCTTTTGTCGGATTTCAACAAGGCTACTCTCCTCTTTGGTGACATTGGCCGTGTTTTTGGTGTACTCTATTGTGGCTTTTGACCCCAGAGCTTGAAGAAAGTCCCCGTAGGCGTCGATCTCACAGTTCAACGGACCCAACTCATTCAGCAGGTTCAGGAGTGACTTGGCGGTCTTAAAGTCCATGTAATAGGTGCTGTCTGTGTAGACAAACTCACTGTCAGACATAGAAAACAGGCCATTTTGATTCGTGCAAACAGCTCCGCTATCCCGCATCTCATCTATGCTTGGCTTGTGCAGAAAACACAGACAGGAGGCATTCTCCATTTCCGGATACCAGGAATGTTCACGCGGCTCCAACACAAACACGCCATGGGTGGTTCCCACAGACAGTGGGGAGGGATGGGCTAAAGCTGTGAAGCCTGGTTTATCAAAACTGACTCTCTCCTCCTCTGGTATGCTGTAGAGCTCGATGTCATCTGCACAGGTCACCAAGACGCCGGGCTTCATTTGTGACGGGAAATCCACATACATGGCCAGTTTGAGCTCCAGCATCTGGTAGATGGGGTTCCCCAGTGGTAAAGGCATGAAGATCTTTCCCAGAGCGCTGGCACTGGGCATTCGCTGGCTGAAGCCACCTAAAGGTAAAACATGTGGAAGTGACAAATGTTGGTGGGTTTTTTCTTTAGTTTAATACAATTCGACATTTATTAAAATATTTTTTTATTATTTTCTGTCATTATGGAATATATTCAGTGTTTGAATTTTGTAATTCCTAAACAGCTTAATCTTTCCCTCAGGGTAGAAATGGATATGTTTCCACCGTTATAGAGGAAGCTGACCCAACAAAAAAAAAAAAACAGAAAAGATAAACTGTGTTATAGGAATAGAAATTGTGCATACAATGGAGTTGTTTGCAAAAAACATAGTTTGAACTATCCACCATTATAAAAACATGACTGTAAATTGTACTGTATTGATTAAAACAAATTTCCTTCCTCATCTGTCACTGCAAGCTTTGCACATCAAATATGGAGGAAATACCAAAGTGAGACTCTGTTCATTTGGCCAATTCTATGATTGGTGTGCAGAACGTGAATCTGGTTAAAGACAGACATTATTATGACAGCATATTTGATACACTGGGCTTCTCTAGTTCAGTCTTGTCTTTGTTAATTAGCTTTTTTAAAAATAATTATTAATAATAAATAACATAAAAGTGGCTCTAGAATCCCCAAACCACATTATTTGTATGGTTGTCCAACTCCAATAAATTTGATTCAGCTGAATGCATAAATGAGACCTTTCAAAAAAAAAATAATCCTTTTCTAGGAATCCTAAATGCACGTTTGTAATATTCCTGATAATATCTCAATGTATCTTTCAAAATCTCAGGAAAATTTTTTTTATTTTTTCCCTACTTTTTTAGAAGAAATTCTTAAACCCATCATATCCTTCAAGAAAGGTGTACACACACACAAAAAGAAATCCCAACAACCAAACCAACACATTTTGCATAAGTAGTTAGATTTATTTTAGAAAAACATGAGTAACCTGCGTGGATCAGGATGACTCTCATGTGGCTCAGAGCTTTTCCATAGATGTCATTCAGCTGCTGAAGAGCATACAGAGTGGAGCCTCCATTTCCTGCAAAACGACGCCTACTTTAAACATCGGCCAAACAGAAGCGAAAAGAATGCAAGCAAATAACGCCGAGGGGTTCACTGACCTATTTTGCGCCCTGGCGGATCTGAGAAGACCTGGTACTGAGCTCCGACCGGAAGCTCCTTCCTCTCAACCTTCTCCGCGATCTGGAGCTCATACGCTTCTTTCTGGCTCCCGTCCACGGCGGTCACGGCCACGACATCCCAAAACTCACCCGGTGAAACTTCTCGACCTTCAGGAAAGCCACCGTGTTACTTTTACTGAGCTCCCCGGGTCGAAGTAAGATGAATGGAAAAAAACAAAACAAAAACGAAGCTCACCGCGCAGCGAGTTGAACTTCCTGAGCTTTTCTCTTGTTGCGGTGTGTAGTTTCCTGCTGCTCATGCTGGCGCTTCTACTGTCACTTACATACCGTCAGGACAGAACCGAACGTGTTGCTTGTAGTTTGAACTCACGGGATTTTGTTCTGTTTATGCTAGTCCTGTTTTTCCGGCTTTTGTGTCACGTGGTTCGTTGCGTTCACAGCGCATGCGCGCGGCCAATTCGCCGCCGAAATATTACAAATTCTATCTGATGACGTTTAAACGGACCTTTTTGCACAAATTGCAGTTTCACAGAGCCTTGCATAAATGTAAGCTGTCCGCAGTTATTCTCAGGTCTTTCTAACAATAGAAAAGGAAAATAAATGTAGAAACAAATCTTTGTAATTGACAGTTTTATTTTCTGACTTTTGCATCTTTTCTACCACTTTTCCCTTCCAAACAACTAAATAGTTGGGAACAGAAGTCTGTAGTTTTCAAGTTTTTATAAATGCCATTGGCTGCTTCCTCCCACCCCACCCCCACTTTTTTTTACTGTCCACTACTTGTCCCTAAAGCCTAAATAAAGTGTTTCATAGGTCAAGATCAAGCAAAAAAATATTTTTCTTAAAATAAATGTAATATTTTTATTATTACATTTAATAAATATGCTTGCTTTTTTCCCAAAAAAGCAATCAAATAACGCTGTCAGAATTTTTCCCACTTGCTTCCCAAAAAGCAAGTGGGAAAAAGCCACTTGCTTTAATTTCTTTAGAAATGAAAGTGTAAAAAAAATCTGGATGTCTCAAAATGTAAAAAGGAACAACCTCTTTGGTAGAGAATTGCTTATTTCTTGTTTCTTCTGACATGAAAGAAAAAGGCAGAAACACAAAATTCTAATAACATTTTTTTACATCAAATTACCAGTCACACTGCAATTTTTCTGCCCTCAGCATTTGCTCAGATCCTGACCACTGCCTTTCGTATTAATGTTGTTAGTCTGGTTTTCCTGGCTCCCAATTTACCGACACAAAGTGGACTCTGTCCCTAATTCCAACAAATTAGCTCCCTTCCAACAACAAGCACAATAATGAGTGAATCCACTTTGCTCTGGGCGCAGCCTTTGTAAACTGATTTGCACTTTTAGCTCTATTGATTAGGAATAAACATCATTTTAGCTCAGTGCACACTGTTTGAAAGATAGCAAGGTTTCCAGCTAAAATTCCTGAATTGCTTGAAATAGTATTAGATAAAATAAAGATTAAAAAAAACCTAGATCATTTAAAATAACTTAGTTTTTTTTTTAAATGTACATGCTGTTTAATGTAATAAACTTGCTCCTGTCTTTAACTTTGTTTAGGATTAGTGTGTGAAAACAGAAATTAGGAATGAAAAAAATGCTTTTGTTTGGCCTAATGCACCATTCTAAAGTTTACTTTAAAAATATATTTCTCTATTTCTGACCAAACAATAGGTAAATGCCCTGTATTCGTATAGCGCTTTATCTAGTCCAGAAGACTCCAGAGGAATTTACGCTACAGTCATGTTGTAGCGTTTCTGAATAATGTACATCCTGAGAAAACTTTTGAGTTGTGGCAGGTCTTCTGGGGGAAACTGAGGCCTTTTTTGAGGAAAGTGTTAGTTGGAAAACATGAGTTCAAAATGCAATACAGAAGGATAATGATGTGATTCTGCAGGAATGGTGTGCTGATTCTGGACAGATTTAGTTCCTGTGATCATTAAGAGGATTGGATTTGGTTGTGTTCACACTGTACTGAGAATTACACCCATTTTCTATGAAGGTGGATTTGCATTAGACACAAACTAGTCCATATTCCTCTCCTGGACCTGTGAAACTATCAGCAGCTTTTATATAAAATGGTTTAAGAACGTTAGGAATGCAAAGTTAAAGGGTGGTGCACGTGAAAGGTTTTGGAGAACGTATTTAACAGCTTTAAAAAGTTTATTGATTAAAGTAACTCAACACATTTCATACTCAAAGCTTATGTCTATACAATAAAATCAGTTCAAATGAAATTCTATAAAACTATACATTGTTGTCTCAAATGAAAACAGTAAAGTTATACACCAAAACCACATGTAAACTTCCTAATGTTACCTTCAAATATATTAATATACAAAGTGACAAAATAATTACATTTGACCTTATCTAAAAAAATCTTTCCAGTGTTAAATGACAGTGAACTGATGGCTCACAAAATATAAATCATATATCTAGAAATTTGAATTGCACATGTTTTTCAAAAAATAATGCTAAAAAAAACTACAGAGGCATAAAATCATTTGTGCGCTGTTGCTTTGTACTTGTCTATGGAAATTACAAACTAGCAGTCCTTCATAATCTCAAAATGGCTTACTTTATGGCATATTTAAGCCCAGCACCTCCAAAGCAGTGTTAAGTCAGGATTAGAGCTGTGAAACAATGCTACTCTGTCCTGATAATGCCCCTTCTTTGCTCATGGGAGAGGGGTTTTAAATAAAAATGAAGAAGGTGGCAGAGCACCCAGGCTGTCTTTGTTGGCTTCCAGGAACTGACTGCAAGCGGAAAACGTGCTGTAGAAGCTGGAGGAGAGGCCAGCCACGTCTGTCGAGATATAGGGGAGGACACCTGGTGTGGCCTGGTTGTAGTAGGTGAACTGAAACAAAAATGGATGATCAATTTTGATACCTGCAGCAATGTGCTGTAAGCATTAGAGCTTGTGCCGCAGACATTGGGCTAACCTTGGTGACCGAACTGGACTCCTCCCAGATTGTGAAGCCAGCACAGAGCACCTCTCCCCTGGAGAAATCCTCTGTAGGCGGGTGATTGGGCAAAGTAACAGAACGCAGAGCGATCAGGTACGGGTCCCTGAGAGAGACAAAATGGAATTCTATGAAGAGTCACATATAGCACAAAAAAGATACAAAGCTATGCAGGTATAAAAGAGCAAAAATTCAATAAAAAAGTTATTCCTCAAATGAGTCGACAAACTACTTTTTTTGTCAGCATACCTTATCTAACCCAGAGGCACAAACCCTACTTGGTGAAAAAGATTGTTCTGTTAGATCTCCTGCAAAGATCAATCGGCTCAACTGTTTAAATTATTTAAACTGCAGCAAATGAACCATTTAAAAATGAATTGACAAAATGCTATCAAAATTATACTTAGCATTCTGCATGGAATTTGACCTGTTCGTATCAATATACATTGAAGAAAGAATGTGAAATAGTAAAAAGAGCAGTAACACTCTTTAGAAACCACAAGATGAGAAATATTATCTGAAATGCTAAATAAGATGAGGCCATCATTTAATTCATTTTAACACTAATAATTCACAAACAGCAATCGAGGGATGAGTATTTCTCAGCCATGGCCTCCACTCATTGACTCAGGTGTACTGAAGCAGAGACACATCCAGAACATGGAGGACAGTGGGCCCTGAGGACCGGGGTTTATCACATGCTGATGTAGAATGTCCTTCCTTGTATTTTTCCAGTCTCATAATATGGTAACATTTTGAATAAGCGACAAAGTAAGAAAGACAAAACTATTATCAAAATAAAGTGAGCAAATCATTTTAGGGCAACATGTTGAATATATTAGGTAGTTACAGGTTTATTTACTTTATTTACTCAAAAATCTGAACAAAATTGTGGTATAAATATCAGGCAACCTTATGAAATCATTTTCGAGCTGGAAAAAGAGAACATGAAATGACATGTTATTTTGCAACACCTGGAATCACATGGCTTCCTTCTAGATGCGAGCAAGATAAAGTCTTTCCCTTTGCCCCCTTTGCTGACACAGGGAGTAACCACACGATAAAGAGTGTCATCCTCATCTGCCTGGTTGATCACCTCACACTCCCTATGGTTGAAACATCAACAACAAAAAATGTAATTAGAAACATATTGAAAGTTTTCAGGCTTTTGAGTATTTGACAGTAATGTGACAAGTAAGCATTCGTCTGGAAGTTACGGTTTCCTTCATAAAAAGTCCTGTGCAAAAACCGTAAATCTTCACTGCTGGTGGCTGAGGTAAGACAGATACCGGGACAATCGAATCTTCATCTGCTGCATTTAAAGCACCATGTTTGAAATGTGTGTATGTTACTGACTCGTAATGCCGGTCCCATTCTTTCCTCCTCCTCAGGTCCGACAACAGGTGGAACACCTGCTCTGCTGGGACGCTGACGTACATCTCCACCTTGACACAAAGCATGTGGTTTTCCTCCAAAGTGTATAGTCTCACCTATCAATATGTATAAACAGAAGTTGTTTAAGGTATCAACATGTACTGTGCCAGTGAGAAATTTATATACACTCCAAGCTTGATGCCCTTTGACGATTCTTTTCCCAGGGTAAAATGACTTCATAATACACTACTTCAGTGTATTTTTGGGAGGTCAGATTTAAATGGATATTTTTTTCAAAGAAAAAAATATGTATATTTTATAGCAATTTTTCATTTAAAACCTATAATTCATATGATCAACATTCTGCTGTATCAGGACATTTGCTATTTCTAAATAATATAATGCAAAATGTAAGTTGACCTTATTTTTCTCTGAGGTTAAGACCCAGTTGTTCCGGGTATCCATGAGCTTCAGAGCTGATACGTTGTTGTAGCTCAGGTACATCTGAAAAACCAAACGGTTGAGTGAACGCCTGAGCTTACGCACCACATCTGGTGGGCTTTGATTGCTTCTCTAAGATACCTGGTTACTTAGATCCCAGGGCACAGACAGAGGCACTTCGGTTTGCTTGCATGAGATGATATATTTTCTGTAAGCATTAAGGCACAAATCAAAGACCAAATCTAACCAGTATAAACACTTATTCGGGTGAGTCCAACACGTTTGATTTTTAAATTAAAGAAACACAGATTATGCTGGAAGCAGAGTGTTTAACAGCTGAACAATGAACTTTTTATTCTTAGTAAACTCTCCAACAAAGTCTGCTCAGCTGTGAAATCCAGCCAAGCCAAGTCATTTTCTTATGAAAAATACCGCAAACGAGCTTTGTCACGCCATATTTACACAACACTATGGTTGCACCATGATCTATATATATATATATATATATATATATATATATATATGTGTGTAAAAATGTGACATACCTGTCAAGGCGAATTTTCTTTCTTGCAATAGCTTCTTTATAACGTCTTCTTCCATCCTTTACAGCACATGAAACCCCAATTTAGTTCAGTCAAACGAATGTAGATTACGTTGCAGAGCAAGGTCACCAAACGTTATTAATAAACTTTGTTAACATACCACAGGCTCGGGTCGTAGGTGTGGCAGCGTACGGGGCTTCCTGTCACTGTCCAGCACCTCAAAGGTCATAAAGGCACTATTGATATGGCGCAGAGGTTCTCCACCCTGATAGGCCTCTGCACAAACTCCCACCTCCATGCTACACAGCATCAGTAATACATTTTTTTTTTTTTCAGAGCTGCAAACACTAAGCGTACGTAAATGCAGATTGAAATCAAAGGCACTACAAATGAACATTGCTGACGTCACTTAGTTGATTCAGGGATTGTTCACTGAAATCTGTCTGGTAACGTGGAGACGCACCTGTGTTTGAAGGCGTTGTTAACAATAGCTTTCAGCACCAGCCGGTCGCCAATGTGTGACGGCCCACGAAAATGGAACATGTCTATTGTCCTCAGGGTTGGGTGGGCGTTACATAATCGGCTGGATCAAAACAGAAAAAAAGCGATGATACGGATGCGTAATTGTGCTATAGAGCACAGATACACGTCAAATGCACATCCACTCACGTATTTAAGGATATGGATGTGTTAAGTACAATATTAAATTGGGAAAATGGAACATAGCACTAGAAGCGTACATCTATAAAGATCTCAGAAAAACAAAGTGGTGATGCTCACAGGTCTCAAAAATAAAATTTTAACTCGATTTACATAAAACAGTATGTAAATCTGTGATTTCTTTGCTCCTCACAAATCATAACATGGTGGTAACCTTTTTAAACTTAAATATATATTTTTCAAAAATCCAGTCATACAGATAGCAAAACATATTTTACAGATTATGTATGTACAAGAATATAGACACTCTTCAATTTGTTCTGTATCAAACCAAAACCCAAAACTTCAAAGCATTTCTTTGGAATTATATGTCACAGAAAAATGACAGAGTACTCCATTTTTGTAAGGTACAAAGAAAATTATGCATCTTTTTTTACTTTTTTCTTTTTCAAATAAAAATGTTAAAGCATAACCTGCTTTTGTACTTAAGAATCACATTCTGTTGCAGTTACAGCTCTAGACCTCTAGAGGGTATTTCTCTAGCAGCTTTATTTTGCTTTATTGCAAAATAATTCCAATTCAGAAAGAATGGATGGACAGCATCTCTGAACATCACGTCTTACCTCAGGTTCCCAACTCTGTTTTCTTATGTATTCATGTATTCATCCCAACACATGAAAATATTTTGATCAAAACCACTCCATTGTAGATCCGATTGTATGTTGTATGTTACTGTTGTTCAGTGTCAGACTAAAGCCTTCATCAGCCTCTAACAGGTTTCCTTCCAGATTCGCTTCCCTCTGATCAACTTCACTCATCCTCCTAAACATAATCCCCACAGCATGATGCTGCCAGGGCCTGGGTGTTCAAAAGGTTCAGTTTTGCACTCATCTGTATCTGGTGGATTCCTTACACATTTGTGTGTAAGGAATCCTCTATCCTTCATGATAGAGGATTAAATTGTTTGCATTTTATTTCACTATATGAGGACATAAAATGGGTAAAATAGTAATAACAGCCATACCTCTTAGATATGTATTTGTAAGTAACAAGTGCATGCCTCCCTTTTTCCATAAAATTCTATTTTCTGATGGCTTTTTGTATAAATCTAATAGCATGCATCAAATTTGGGGTTAAAATATAAAATAATGTAAAATATTCTGAATATTTTTGCAAGCCTCTCTGAAAGTGAAGCTCTTCAAAAGAAAGAAGAGCTTCACAACTGTATACCTTGCTGCAATTGTAGCCACATTCTCCATCCAGGCCATGATCTGGCCTCCAAAAGTGCTGACTTGATGGTTGGCATGGGGTGGAAGCACCAGCTCCACGCTCTCCACTCGCGTCTTCTCAGATGGCACGGCGTCGTCATACTCCTGACATTCCCCTGATGAAAGACCCAAAAAGAAAAGGCTGTAATCTCTCTGACCTCAGAGGGCCGTGTGCTCTAAAAGCCTCGTGTCCTTACCCAGCTGAGCTGTGCTGCTGCTCAGCAGGTCTGTGATAATCTCAGCATGGATGAGTCGCATCCTCCGCCGCTCTGCCGCCAAGCTGTACTCCATCTGCTCCATTTGTGTGTAAGGAATCACCTGCTTGAGCTGTACCTTTGCACAGAAAACCAAAGCGGCCAGAAGAAGATAAGCGAGCTTCACCAAAGTGCTGGTGTGCTCGAGATCGTTTCGGTCCCCGCTCCGTTACCTTTCCAGCTTCAGTTCGTCTGGAAACAAAAGTGGCAAAGGCATGGCAAACTTTCCACTGCCTGTCAGAGTAAAGATCTTCACAAGTCACCAGTATGCCCACCTGAAATTCACACATTTACTACATTTTTATGTACGAATACGGCTGTTCAACTTGATACCATAGAGACGTCCACCAACCTCCATGCTAGACGTAAAGGCTCTGTTGACTTTGGCAATAATACTGACAACTTGTCCAACTCTGAAAGAGACAAACATGGAGGCATCTTTACTGTCAACATGATTATACTCAACACAATATTTTCCCTTTCTACCCTCAGGTATTATTTTAAGTCGACAGTAGGAAAACTAACTATAAATTGGGGTCGTTTGTCATCACTCATATTAAGAAATACAGGATGAGGCCTATTTGATTTCAATTATTTTTTAAGAAAACAATTCAAAAGGTAGTTTGGTAAATAAATCCTAAACAAATGACACAATGGTTGATAATACCTTACCCTATTGTGTGTTCGAAGTGGATGTCATCGACCGATGCAGTGACACAGGAGCAGCCTGCATGTCTCTCAGCTGGGAAAGGAGAGATTACACTAAATTGAGAGTATTTTTTACTGGCTTTACCCATTCACTTAAATCTGACAGAAGTGAGGCCGCTATATTGTGCCATTGGCCCTTCTGGCCACCGACAGCAGGCAAGGTGGGTAAAGCGTTTTGCCCCAATAAATTCTCACTCCTCACCTGACAAACAGGCTGTGGAGTCCATCCACTTCAGCAGCTGTCCCACACTCAGCTCCCCGCAATGATTGGCGTGACAGGGCAGCACGATTTGACTCATCTGCACCTCAGTGGGGTTTCTATAGACTTCCCCGGTCTCTTGGATGAGTTGGGGGTCCAGCATGATGCCTGCACCTTTCCCCTCTGATGTCATAACTCACAACTACACACAGGAAGAGACAAATTAAACAACAAACATATTTTTACACGTAACATCAAAAAAATATATACAAAAAACCAAAACACTTGTATCATTTGCTGCCAGATGTTTCCAGTTGTAGTGTGATAAAATGTAAAAAAAAAATCAAATAGAGAGAAAAGTCAAAGGAGTATGAAGTACTGTACTGAGAGTTTAAATGACAAAAGTAAAGCTATATCTACATTACAAGTGATGTAAACATGCACAACATGTTCATAAGTTGAGCAAACAACTTAGAAGTGAGAAGAAGTTAGCCAGTTTTAATGTGATCTCTCGCCACACATTCTTCAGCTTTTCATAATCTCCAGATAATCTGCAAATACGTTTCACTAAAGGCGCAAAACTTCCAACCTGCCTTGAGCTCGCTCTGAACTTCTATGGTAATTACAACTGACTGCACTCGGGATGCAACTGTGCGCACAGAATCGCTTTTTTTTTTTTTATTGCAAGCCGGGGCACGTCCTGTTAAGTGCCGCAGACAAACTATTTCAAGACGTGCAGATAAATGGGGCATTCAGGGAAGGCGTTTGCCTGGGTACGTCTAAACAGGGTCGCGCACACGGTCACCTGTTTCCACTGCGTGCGCAATTCTGGATTGATTCCCACAGAAATAACATTCCCTGCAGACTCATAACGGCGCTTCTTGAACTAAACGCGCTCGTATTTCTAAGCTGACACTGAACATATGACTTATAATGAGGGGGGGGGGGGAACACAGAAAAGAGCTTACTCAATGTATTCAAATGCAGCTGAGGTCCGATGAGGTGTTTGTTGGAGCTCATCGAACCGAACCGTGGATCTTCTTCTGGTCGCACGATCCTCGTAAAACGGAGCCGCCGAGCACGCAGCGAGTTTAATGAAGAAGTTTGGCCGCTGGAGGGAGGGGAGAGGCAGGGACACCGCCCCCCTGCAGAGCTCACAGTGTGAACGCTTTTTTTTTTTTTTAAGGTGGAACTGGAGTCCAAACACCATCCTCCAATGAAGGTGCTGTTAACTCACTAAAAAGCATCACAGGTGATCTTTTTAAGTATTCCTTTGGGACTTTAAATGCCAATTCACGGGCAGCTCAAACTTTGAGACTGTATTGGGTTTGCAACTGTGATGCAATTTGCAAACGACGCCGCGATGGGAACAGCACCAGACAAAGAAATCTGCATTTTAAATGCGATGCTTGCTGGTAACACGTTGCAAAACAAGTTGGGTTGGAGGCACGCTTCACCACTGGGTTGCATCAGCTTCCAGCACTGCTTGGAAGCGTTTTATGTTTGGGAGTTGAAGGGACCGGATGGAAACTTAAGTCTCTACTTTGTTTCCTAAAAAAAAAAAAAAATATATATATATATATATATATATATATATATATATATATATATATATATATATATATATATATATATATATATATATATATATAAATAACAAAATAAAAAGCTGAATACCTCATTTTCTTTTCAATTTCAGCAACAGTAGATGATGGGTTTGACACTGCTTGAGTGGTTGTTGGCAATAAGTTCCCTATATCCCTCTCTGAAATTGTCTTTCTAAATATAGCAATACTTTTGCCAAAAATGCTTGAATGACTGCAGATGTTGCGGCAAGACCCTTTGTTCAGCAATTATGGTTCCCTCACTCCTGCGCCTTAGATTATAATGGATGACAATCTTTCCTGAGACCATATGTTCTCTTATTTTTATTATTATTATTTTTTTGCACAAATCAAAATGGTGGGAATCTCTGGATCTTACAAAATTCAGAAAGAAAATAAAATTTTTCATAGCACGCAGCAGAGCGTTTTCTTGCCTGTCTAATAATGCTGATGCTTGTTAGGATTTTCTCAGTTGTTTCACTGAGTCAACTTCAATTGGATTGAGAGTTTTAACTAGAGGCCCAAATATTGAAGCCATTTGCTGTTTGTTTTGTCTGTAAAGTTTCTTTTAGACATTCTGAGCATAATTTGATTTTCATTCATATTAGTCATGAGTCAGATGATTGTATCAAAGTGTGTTGCTTCAAATTGGACTTGAAAACTGTGAAAATGTTTAACCAGTCCTATTCCTGCATTTTAAATTCATTTAATGAGATTTCTTTGGACTGTGTAGCTCATTGAGCAACACAGCTGCTTAGCTTGGTCTGTCTGGAAATACTTTGGGATACATTGAAGAGTCACTAAATATCAATAACATTATTACAAACGGCAGCAGTTCCCAAAGTTTGGATTACAACTATGTAACGTGTCTTGAGGTCCACTTCAGGAATTAACCTATAAACCGATGAAGAGAAAGGATGTACATATTAGAAATGTTGTGAGAAAAAATGTGTATAATCCCCAAAAACAAAAACAGGTTAGAAAACAATTAAAGGTAACATGTTGGGTAATTTATTTGATGTTGACGCTGCTGTTCTGCGATTGTAGCACTTTTTAACTGCTGTAAAAATGCAAGCATGCTCAACCAAGAGTCAGGGTCATGATCCTTGGTTGTAGAGTCATTTTGTATGTCAGAAGCTGAAAGTTTGGGAACAGCAAGATAATAATATAAATGTTGTATTGTGTTGGGAAATGGATTTTAATCTTGTTTGTATCTCGGTGTGTGTGTGCATTTTTTTCTTTTACTGAGCACATGTTTTTAACAATAACTTTTACATCGTGTGTAATCTTACTTGGTTGATCAAATAAAAGAAACTACATCCTGTTTCATGGTTCACATGTGTAATGACATCTGAAACCCAAATATCTCCTCTCGTTAAAAAATTAATAAAGCAGGCTAACGACAAACCAGAATAGCCAGTTTGTTGTTAATTAAGGGGCAATTAACAAGGGAACAGTGAATCTGTTCCTTAAATCGAGTCCTTTGAAACTGAAGCTATCGACGTCAGAACTGTAAACGGAGAGCACAAAAAGGCGGGTCTTAAAGAGATCGCTGGGTTCTCATTGGCCGCCTGTCCTGCCGCTCGCGGTGGCCCCGCCTCTTCCCCCGGACCAGGCTCGGTTGAGTCGTTGGATCGAGGAGGAGTGCGGTTGGCGGCCGCGATGGTCTGACAGATGAAATAGCGAAAAAAAGAAAGAGAAGCGAAAAAAAAAACAGCCAAGCGCGAGAAAAGTAAGCCGAGAAACGTTTATTTATTCCGCATTTTTCCGCCCGCTAAGTTGCTTTGTGTTGTTTGCTGGATGTAGGCTAGCAAGAGGCGATTTCCTCCTGCCGAGAGTGGAATTGAATGAACCGCCTTGTCTGCTCGCCATTCCTCCTCCGAGCCGTGTTTCTCCTGCCGTTAGCCGTTTGCCGTTGTTCTCCGCGCAGCCACCGGGGCTCTTGGTTTGTGTTTAGAGCGAAACTCTCTGAGACGGGGGTTTTTTTTTTGTGTGTGTGTGCGGGGTTGTCCGAGACGAGAGCACGGAAAATGAGAAAACAATAACATCGCGGCGCTACAGTGCATTGTTTTCTCTGTTGCGCTCTCTGCCTGGATAGGCTCCGCTTTCGTTACCCACAGCCCCATCAGTTCCACCAACACAGCGTTCTCAGGCTTCAAATTATACCGTTTATTTACTCGCTCGGCAACATTAAATGCTGCAAACCTTCAACAGGCTCGGCTTGTTTTCCAGTCCCCATCTAATTTTTTGGCTTGAGCTATTTGGCAGCCATTGTTCCCAGGGCCTGTAGTCGACTCAGCTCACCTCTTCATTTTGTAGGAAGAATTAATCTTACAGCAATATGTTTATAAGACCAAGCCACACATTATTATCACTTTTTAAATTTTAAAAAATATATATATTCTATTTTTCTGCACAGGTTGGCTCTATATGTCTATGAATATTTGTTACACATAGGAGCACAGAAGTCTGCACAGACCTTTTTATCAGAGGTATGTGGAATTTGGGGTAAAAGTTCAACCCTGTTTTCAACACTTTATTGAAATGCTTTTTTAACAACAACAACAAAATAAATAAATAAAATCAGTCTTAACCGAAATCTGTTGATCGTTTGTAAAACCTGTCGTAGATCCGATGGGAGAAAAACATAACCCTCGGAGAGCCCCCTGGATTCCTACATTCCTGGTGGTGGTGAGTCTCATTTCGTCGTACTGTGGCACAGTGTCCAAGGCTTGTTTGCAGTGTTTCAGTTGCTTCATGACCTCCCACACCCCCTCATGCCCTCCTCTTGTCTACAGTGTTTTCTGGGACTTGTATTGTGCTGCACCGGAGAGGAGAGAGACATGTGACCACTCCAGCGAAGCAAAGGCCTTCCATGACTATGTGAGTAGCAATCACATGGAGCTCTTTTTGAAGTCGTAGAGAATTTCTCTTTTTTTTTTCCACCTTGAGGTTTATCAATCAATCGGCCAGATATTCTTTTCCTCCCTTGATCTTAAGATCAAGTACTGAAAAAAATCTATAAGTTTTTTCCTCTGTTCAGCAAATGCATCAAATCGACTCTTTGCCTATAAATAAATAAACTAAACTAACTTCATTTTTTTTGATGCAGGTTTTGTGAGCTTCAGAAAAACACAAAGGTTTTGACGTCTAAATTGGGAAAAACATTTTCTGTTGGATTGAAAGCAAATGTCCGCATTAATCAGTCTGCAGCCATTTCTTTCCACCAAAAAAAAGTTAGATCAGCAGGTCAGAGTCAAAGAAAACGGGTTATGGTAATCTGTATTGGTTCGTCTCCTTTTTTGATTGAATTATAAAGTAATATAAACCAAATACATAATTTGCTGCTCAGATCTTAGTTTTTTGTTTAATCGTTTCATTTTGGAAAACGATCACCTCTCTCTTCCGATGTTCCTGTCCTACACAACGCCTGGTCTATTTTAGGAAAAATAATATTTTCTGCATGGTGAAGATTTTCTCTTTTTTCCAAGTATGTCTTGCGTTTTCTTTTAGTAATTTCTTATCATTCTGCACAGTTGTGCTTCAGAACCTGAGCAAATTGGACCACTTTTTAAATCTGTCAGTGGGCAAACAACGAGCTTCATAGGTTTCTGGGAAAATGAAGCTGAAGTCAGCATTTCCTGAGTCAGACCTGTCGAGCGTTCCTCCAATCCCAGCCTTCGTTGTGGAAGGGGAAAAAGGTTTAGACACATTATTAGAATATTTCTGCACACAACTTCATTTTTGTTTTGATAGTAATCTTTGGCTGCCTGTTAGTGTGTCAGCTCAAGTACATGTTGAAACATAGTGCATGCAGAGTCATAATTCTAATGGATCTGAAAGAGCAGTAGTTGGCAGATCTGTGTGCTCCCTTTCTGAGACGTCACTCACAATTTGTGCCTCATTTGGTTATACATTGTTTCTCCTATTGCAATATTTTCATATTTGCGTGATAAGGGTGTTTTGCTTGTTGATAATTATGCTATTTTGGAGATGGAACGGGGTGGGGGTTGCTTTCATTTGCTGCACAGTTTCCTGCTTTGAACCAGCACTCAAAAAAGAACATCTAAAAAAAAAAAGTCTTGTTCCGATTAAAGAAAATGTGGACTGCTTGTTTGTGGCTTCCATCCTTTCTCTCCATCTTGTATTTTCTTTTATCTTTTGGAAGGTTAAGCAGTAATTGTGCACTAAGTAAATTAAATAAGATCAGGATTTATCAGAATGAGTGCTGAAAGAACATTTGAGGTTAAGAGTTTCCAGCATAATTTAGGGTAACCCAGGACTGTGAGTGGATCTATGGTCAGCAAGGGGTTAAAATGGAGATGCCTTTGCAGATTGGATTGCTGGGTGAGTGGGTTATCATTTCCAGTCATTCAGGAAAAGTTATTTATTTTGATAGCCAGCCATGTTTTTTCCTCTTCACACTAAATGAGCACAACGCTTGTTTTCTTTCTCGTATTTTATGCTTTGACATTGACAAAAAAGTGTTAAACTTTAGAGATGCACTGGTCGCACTTTT